GTGAGTAGGGGGAGACGGTGAGAGGGTGAGGTCAAAAGAGGAGAAGAGTGGAAAGAAGGAGGCAGAGAGAAATTAGTCAAAGGTAGACGTTGGGAGGTTAAAGTCACCCAGAACTGTGAGGGGTGAGCCATCCTCAGGAAAGGAACTTATCAAGGCGTCAAGCTCATTGATGAACTCTCCAAGGGAACCTGGAGGGCGATAAATGATAAGGATGTTAAGCTTGAATGGGCTAGTGACTGTGACAGCATGGAATTCAAATGAGGAGATAGACAGATGGGTCAGGGGAGAAAGAGAGAATGTCCACTTGGGAGAGATGAGGATTCCTGTGCCACCGTCCCGCTGACCAATGTTTCCAGGAATAGACTAACTTAGTTTATTCAGCTAGCTAACTTGGTACAGTATCCGACCAGTGCACCGTATCCTATGACGCCATAGCTAACTAGCATGCTAGCATCCAATAACACACGGTTTAGTATCAATACTTGGTTACAACAAACTACCAATGGATCATTCATGTCCGTGTCTAGTTCCTTTCATAACGCAGAAGTAATTAAAAGTTGGCTAGCTAGCACAAAGTCAGTCATGCTAGCTACACAAGTGGACTACACATCTCGAATGTTCAGAAAGTGAAGCTTACGTTGCAAAGTTCTCATTGACTAAAATGATACAGTACTGCTAGCTGGTAATGTTGGCTAGCTAGCAGTGGCTGCGGTGTTGACTGTTTGAAAATGTAGCTGGCTAGCTAACCTCGATATTTTCTCTATACTACACCTTTGTCTTTGATACCAAGACAACTATGTAGCTAGCTAACTTTACACTAATCAAATCGTTCCGTTGAAATGTATTTAGATGCTACAGTACTGCTAGCTGGATAGTTGGCCAGCTAGCAGTGGCTGTGGTGTTGCTACCCGCTAGCTAGCTAGCTAGCTTTAATGGTCCAGGTAGTGGGTTAGCTAGCTAGCCTCGTGCTTCACCGGGCTCAGCCGAATACACTACAATACTTACCTACAATAACTACCTGGATAAACTACCTACAATACCTACCTACAATCTAAATGCATGGTTTAAGCTTTACTCGACACATATAAAGAAGAAGGCAAGCTTACCTCCCCGCTTAGAGGAACACAACCTCACCCCATCGCTCCTCACACCACTATGCATTAAGCATGCATGCTTAATAACACAATTTCCCATTTGGAATTTGTCCATAACATCCAATAACGGACGTGTTATGAATTTAGTTGAATATGGTCACCGAGGACGCTCCTTTGAAAATAATACCTATTTGTAGCATAAAACATTTGTAAAAAATGTATAGGCCTGCCTGACACATTTTAATTGAGCCTATGCTACTTCAAGTAGGCTAGGCTAGCTGCGCTTTGGCCAATATTACCTTACAACTTGTTTAGGCTAATTAGGCCTATGTGTTCAGTTATTTTGTAAAACACCATAGCCTATAACTTGATATAACTCTTCAAAGCAAGCTGCACGTGAACGTTTGGACGCTTATTCAAGAGGTAGGCTGCAGGTCAATCAAGCTGCAACACTTGGGAGTTTTTCTTCTTGCCACTCGTCTTTACGCATTAACATCACATACTAATAACATGTCCTGGGTTGGCTTATATATGACTATAGTTTCAAGTTAACAATATGAAATGCAAAAGGACTATCAGCAAATATGGTGTGAATTTCATTTATCAACATCAACATTATCCTTGTTGGGAGACTACAAACAGTCTTGCTCTGGACTGTGGCCCATGTCAAATATGAGGCAAACATTTTGACATTAGTTGACGATTCTTAATGGTGTTGTAGGTTTATCACTCAATTGCTGTAACAGTATTTATTTATTCCTGACCTTAATAATTATTGAAAAAACTTAAAGTACTACCAGACCTAAAGGTGTTCTAGGATAACAAACTGGAATCGATAAAGAGGATGGACAGAGAAAATAATGTATTACATCGCACTCAGTCAGGCAACCAATTGTTAAAACCATGTTGCCAACAACAAACTGTACTTCACCTGAATAGGATAGATTTCCCCATTACAAGATGTAATCCCTCTGTATTGTATATTGAATAAACCAAATGTATTCAGCTGTCAGGCCTCTTTCTTAATATTGTATCAGATACGTATCTCATCTCACGTATGCATGTGTTCAACCTGATATCGCCTGGCCCCTAGTATTATTCAAAACCAGTGCAGAGGTTTGTAGGTGGTTGGTGGTGGGGGCGAATCCTGTGGGAGTGGGAGGGGAATGGTCCTCAGGTGAACTAGTCAGATTGGCCAATGTGACGGGTGTAGAATTGCTTCACTGTTGCCTTTCTTTTGTTGGCTTAAAAGACAGCCAAAGGATTGGATTTATTTTCTGATAATAAAAACAAGCTTCCTTAAATGAAGTGAAGTGTAAAGCTCAGATTCCTCTGAAAGAAAATGTGCAAACACAAGGAGGTATGATTAGCCATTCATGATTAACCCATAATTAATTCTAGGCTTTTACATGAATATGTTTGTGGAGGACAACTTCACTGGAACCTCCCTTTTTCCATGAGGGGGAGATGAGAATAAAGTGCATATTGGAAACCTGGACACCAATAGACACCCGATAAGCTAGTTATCATTTTCTACAAGTATAATATGGAATTTGAACGGAGAAGGATGTGTGTAATGTAAACAAGGGTACTTACACTAATTACTAGTTTATCAGGTGGCAAACTACATAAGTTTTTTCAGTGAATATAATAGGGAATCTGAACTCGGTTACTCACCACTCACCAATACTGCCTTACCTAGATACTGCCATGACTTCATACTGCCATAACTAGATATGGCCATAACTTCATACTGCCATACAGTGGTGGGAAAAGTACCCAACTTCATACTTGAGTAAAAGTAAAGATACCTTAGAAAATTATTTAAGTAAAAGTCACCCATTAAAATACTACTTGAGTAAAAGTCTAAAAGTATTTGTTTTTAAATATACTTAAGTATCAAAGGTAAAAGTGTAAATCATTTCACATTCCTCATATTAAGCAAACCAGACGGCACGATTTTCTTGTTGTTTTAAATATAAATAGTCAAGTAAAGTACAGATACCCCCAAAAAACTACTTAAGTAGCACTTTAAAGTATTTTTACTTAAGTACTTTACGCCACTGCTGCCATAACTATATACTGCCATAACGTCATACTGCCTTATCTAGATACTACCATAACTATATACAGTGGGGGAAAAAAGTATTTAGTCAGCCACCAATTGTGCAAGTTCTCCCACTTAAAAAGATGAGAGGCCTGTAATTTTCATCATAGGTACACGTCAACTATGACAGACAAAATGAGATTTTTTTCTCTCCAGAAAATCACATTGTAGGATTTTTCATGAATTTATTTGCAAATTATGGTGGAAAATAAGTATTTGGTCAATAACAAAAGTTTCTCAATACTTTGTTATATACCCTTTGTTGGCAATGACACAGGTCAAACGTTTTCTGTAAGTCTTCACAAGGTTTTCACACACTGTTGCTGGTATTTTGGCTCATTCCTCCATGCAGATCTCCTCTAGAGCAGGGATGTTTTGGGGCTGTCGCTGGGCAATACGGACATTCAACTCCCTCCAAAGATTTTCTATGGGGTTGAGTTCTGGAGACTGGCTAGGCCACTCCAGGACCTTGAAATGCTTCTTATGAAGCCACTCCTTCGTTGCCCGGGCGGTGTGTTTGGGATCATTGTCATGCTGAAAGACCCAGCCACGTTTCATCTTCAATGCCCTTGCTGATGGAAGGAGGTTTTCACTCAAAATCTCACGATACATGGCCCCATTCATTCTTTCCTTTACACGGATCAGTCGTCCTGGTCCCTTTGCAGAAAAACAGCCCCAAAGCATGATGTTTCCACCCCCATGCTTCACAGTAGGTATGGTGTTCTTTGGATGCAACTCAGCATTCTTTGTCCTCCAAACACGACGAGTTGAGTTTTTACCAAAAAGTTATATTTTGGTTTCATCTGTCCATATGACATTCTCCCAATCCTCTTCTGGATCATCCAAATGCACTCTAGCAAACTTCAGACGGGCCTGGACATGTACTGGCTTGAGCAGGGGGACACGTCTGCACTGCAGGATTTGAGTCCCTGGCGGCGTAGTGTGTTACTGATGGTAGGCTTTGTTACTTTGGTCCCAGCTCGCTGCAGGTCATTCACTAGGTCCCCCCGTGTGGTTCTGGGATTTTTGCTCACCGTTCTTGTGATCATTTTGACCCCACAGGGTGAGATCTTGCGTGGAGCCCCAGATCGAGGGAGATTATCAGTGGTCTTGTATGTCTTCCATTTCCTAATAATTGCTCCCACAGTTGATTTCTTCAAACCAAGCTGCTTACCTATTGCAGATTCAGTCTTCCCAGCCTGGTGCAGGTCTACAATTTTGTTTCTGGTGTCCTTTGACAGCTCTTTGGTCTTGGCCATAGTGGAGTTTGGAGTGTGACTGTTTGAGGTTGTGGACAGGTGTCTTTTATACTGATAACAAGTTCAAACAGGTGCCATTAATACAGGTAACGAGTGGAGGACAGAGGAGCCTCTTAAATAAGAAGTTACAGGTCTGTGAGAGCCAGAAATCTTGCTTGTTTGTAGGTGACCAAATACTTATTTTCCACCATAATTTGCAAATAAATTCATAAAAAATCCTACAATGTGATTTTCTGGATTTTCTTTTCTCAATTTGTCTGTCATAGTTGACGTGTACCTATGATGAAAATTACAGGCCTCTCTCATCTTTTTAAGTGGGAGAACTTGCACAATTGGTGGCTGACTAAATACTTCTCCCCCCCACTGTATTGCCATAATGTCATACTGCTGTGCTGTCCAATCAACTTTTCGACATTCATGTTCTAGTTTTACCATAGACCCTATCGACACAATGGCTTTATAACACTCCCAAACATAGAGGTGTAGTGAGTTCTTGTGTGAGAGCGACGGGTCAGTAGTGAGGGATAGGGGAGGGTGATTATGAGGCACCAGCACCTGAAGCACCAGCCACAGGAAGCTCATCTGATGAGGGAGAGTCCTTTTGAGGGTCTGGTTATATTGGCTGTGACTGCCAGGGTCTTCATCATTATCAGCTGAAGACCTGGACCAATGGAGTAGTGCGATCCTCACCACATTTATCCAGCCAGGAGAGAGCATCATCCATGGAAGGTTCAGTGGCTGCACTATCAAGCTCCAATGCAGAGGCTTCTCACTCCGTCACACAGGCCTCACTTGCCATACAGTCATCTCTTAGGAAGCCAGGACCAGAAGTGTAATCTTGTGTCGCATTCAAGGTGATTCAATTGACCTGGTGTCTGCACCACCCACTCATGTCCTGCACAACCAGGGATCTTGTTAATGTCTGGTTCCCAGTTGTCAGTGAGTTTGCGTTTCCTTCTGCATCTCCTATTAGCCACAAGAATTGGATCAACATTTAAGAAGAATGCTTTACAGTAAATTTTTTCTTTCAGAAAACAGAAATGAGTTCCAATCCCCCTGAGACACACACACTCTAAGGGGTCGGAAGCACACTGAGAATTTAAGGGTTAACTGCCTTGCTCAAAGGCACAACGGCAGGAGATGACATGGAGAGAGGCTGGCCTAGCCAGGAAATGACTGCTGCGTATTTACCAGGGGTTGCTCTGGTCCCCCTGATGAACTTTGATCCGAAGTGGGTCAACCAAACGGATGTGTAGCACAGCCATTTCCCTACATAACTACCTAATTGTATTTGATATGACATTGTCTTCCCCTTTAGTTAGTTACTGCAAAATAGGGATCTCTACTCTTCCCTTTACAATTGTGTTGGATTTTATGAAATATATTATGTTGTTCTAATTTATATCACTTTTCAATTAATACATGTTAGTGTGTACCAAAGCATTCTAAATTTACCTCAACCCTGAGCTACTCTCTGTCTTAGTGTCACGCCCTGACCTATAGAACTCTTGTTTGTTGAGTCAGGGTGTGGAAATCTATGTTATATTTTCTATGTTTATGTTCTAGGTGTTGTATTTCTATGTCTGGCCGGGTATGAACCCCAATCAGAGGCAGCTGTTGCTCATTGTCTCTGATTGGGGATCATACTTAGGTAGCCCATTGCCTACTGTGTATTGTGGGATCTTGTTCCTGTTAGGCTGGTATGTGTATAGCCCTTCGGACTTCACGTTACGTTGTTTCTTGTTTTGTTGCATGTTTATTTAGTTAATAAACATGTACGCTTTTCACGCTGCACCTTGGTCCGACCCATCTCTCAACATTCGTGACACTTAGTCAAACATCCAAAAGCCACAATGTTTCTACTTTGATTGGGCAACAAACTTTGTCAGATTTGTCTGAACTATTTTCATGAAAATTGAAAAATAAATAAATGGAGATTAAAATAAAGTAATAACTGGCTAACCCTACATGATGGTACAACTACAGAATTAGCTAAATTATTAAAATTACTACCATTTCTCTACCTGTGGAATATTTCCACCTGTTTCGATTTTATGCTACTACAGTTTCTCAATGCTTGGTGAGATGCCTGCAGGAAAAGGAAGAGCGGGAGGGCAGGGGTGGAGTATTTTGTGCATTCCACCTCTGTCAGAAATGACCCCCAAATTCCTAGAAATAGCCTAGGTTAGTTGATTATTCATTATTTGTAAGCATTAAAAGCATTAGAATCCCAAAAGATCATTCATTATTTGTAAGCATTAAAAGCATTAGAATCCCAAAATATCTTCCCCCTTTTTCAACAATATTTCAAATAAAATGTCAACTCTTAAAGTATAATGGGAGTCATGTGCAGGAAGTAGGTCAATGTTACAGCATTTATATAAGCAGTGAGGTAAGGCGATAGCAGAAACCATCACGTGCCACATGCTGGGGGGAAACTGGGAGAAAGCCAGTGGTTAGACGCCCTCTCATGGTGACTTGTACTAGGGACATGGAAACTCATCACGTGCTGCCTGACAGCAGGGAGAAACTGTCTGAGCCAGAGGTTGGTGTCTGCTAGGCTGATTTAGGTTGATGAGTTCATTCACCTCACCTGCCAGGCTTATAGCTTTCAAGATGATCAGTTACAAGCTGGAAGGTCATTTACAGTTAGCTGAACTTAAAACTGATTTACACTGACGAACATTTGTCAATAGGCATACAATGGAGAGTTTATTTATAGTCCTCTCAAGTGGATGTTAGTTAGTGCATACACACTTATCATGTGACTGATCAACACAATAACATTTATATTTATAAGATGTTCTAAAATTATTTATCTTTTGAAACTTTTTACACAATATTGAGTTACACTCCCAGGCACCTTGTAATTATACAAGGTTCCAACCATATGTATGGGTTGCTTGAAGTCAACATCCATTGAGTTGGTATTTTTGCCATCTTCTGGGCAAAGCAAGTAGCTGCAAGCATCCATTCATTATTTTCTCAGTCCTCAGTTGAGTGTTTCAATTGAGGATCGGGGATATGTGAATGTCTTTTATGGAGGTTGTCAAAATTGGCAAATATAAAAATCAGAGGAATTCAACAAAACACCAACCCATTTTGTCTCTAGGTCCTCGAGTGGCGCAGTGGTCTAAGGCACTGCATCGCAGTGCTAGCTGTGTCACTAGAGATCCTGGTTCGAATCCAGGCTCTGTCGTAGCTGGCCGCGACCAGGAGACCCATGGGGTGGCGCACAATTGGCCCAGCGTTGTCCAGGGTAGGGGAGGGAATGGCCGGCAGGGATGTAGCTCAGTTGGTAGAGCATGGTGTTTGCAACGCCAGGGTTGTGGGTTCGATTCCCACGGGGGTATAAAAAATAATGTATGCACTAACTGTAAGTCGCTCTGGATAAGAGCGTCTGCTAAATGACTAAAAATGTAAATGTCTCCGTAAGGGTGTCAGTGCTACAATAATGCATCGATTTGACTGTGGAGGAATTACAAATGATGAGAAATCAAAACTAATGTGTCAGTTTTGTATGGTTCTTGTGCCTGTGGTTTAGGACCTTTACCCATAGGAGAAAACAATAGCCTTCCTGTCTCTCGGCCTGACGTCATAACCCCACGCCTGGCAGGAGCCATGCCTCATGTCATAACCCCACACCTGGCAGGAGCCATGCCAATCCAAGAGCTGCCTAGGAAACGGAAGGGGGATCTAGACAACAGGTAAGAGCAGAGAGACCTCACCTATCATAAAGTAGCATAAAAAGAACAACATTCTTATTTTTGTCTCTTACCCGGTGGACTTATATTTTGTGTTCTCTATGTCTTGCAGGGAAAATGGTGATGCTCAAATGGAGGAGGAACAGAGCAGGTATTTGAATTCTTTAGAAATTATTTTTTATCTTGGCAAGATCTCTCAGGGCCAGGCCAGGTGATTAAATTAATCATTTTAAATAATCATATATATTTCCCATTCCAATTTAGATCGGAAGACGATGATCAGCAGGTCAAAATGAAATGCTTCAGGTAAGAGCCTGGGCGTACATATTCATTTGGTATATTGAAAGGGAGTTAAAGGCCCAATGCAACCGTTTTTATCACAATATCAAATCCTTTCTGGGTAACAATTCAGTACCTTACTGTGATTGTTTTCAATCAATATGGTAAAAAAGAAACAAAAATAGCTTCTTAGCAAGAGCAGTTTCTCAAGCAAGAATTTTGCTAGGACTGTCTGGGAGTTGTCTGAGTGGGGAGGGGAAAACCAGCCGGTATTGGCAGAGCGGTTTGGAACTCTCTTTCTTATTGGTCTATCAACTAATTTACCAACAGGCAGGCCAAAACTCCATCCCACCAAAACAGGCTGAAATTTCAGGCGGTCATTTCAAACAGATCTTACACTAAAAAGGCATTATCATAATTTTCACAATTTCACAGTATTATTCCAACCTTTGGTGTGGAAATATATATAAAACACAGGAAAATCACATTTCTGGCTGCACTGGCCCTTTAAAGTATGCTTTAGGCCTATCCTCTCAAGTTCAGTAAAAAACAAGAGGATACTTTAATATTATAAATGACCTAATACTACACTCGGGTGTGTTTTTTGTGTGATTATTGGCACTCTATGAAGCTGGTGGTACGATGCGAGCGACCACATCACCATAACGCCAATAATAACAATAACACACACCCTCTCATGTGTTGTTGTTTTAATAAATGATATCATGCTGACTTGATAGCAACAAGCTTCACCTTGCCTCAGCCCGTAGTGAGATATGTGTGTGAGAGAGAAATACGTGTATTTGTGCCCTCACTCACAGGGAGCCACACAGCCAAATTGAAAAGCGGAGGAGGGACAAAATGAACACCCTTATCGACGAGTTGTCAGGGATAATTCCCTCCTGTAACCCCATGGCCAGAAAGCTTGACAAACTCACGGTGCTGCGAATGGCTGTGCAGCACCTCAAAGCCCTGAAAGGTAGGCCTCATTATCCCAAAACTGCCCCTACAACACGGTACCACACCAGGCAATCTGTGCAGCACCACACATCTCTTTAAGGTAGATCTCATAAAGCTACACTAATGCAGTTAGTCTTGGACACATGGTGGCTGCAAAATACACAGCTGTGCACAAATAGCTTGGTTCATTGCTGATAATATATATATATATATATATATATATATATATATATATATATATATATATATTTAATATTTATATATATATATATATTTAATATTTATATTTAATATTTATATATATTTTTAACTCAAGTTGTGGTATAAATGTCAAGCTCCTAAGGGACAGGTACAACACAGACTAACAGCTCAGTGCTGTGTTCGTCTCCTCAGCAGGTGCCAGCAGCTCCTTTACTGACGTTAACTACAAACGCAAGCCTTCGTTTCTGCCTCAGGATGATCTCAAGCACCTGGTGCTCACGGTAGGCCGCCCTTCAATCTGTCTCAATCTCTTTCTCAATCAACCAAGAGCAATCCCATTTGGTATTGTGGCAGCAGTCACAACAGTGGGGTAGGATTATGTAGTATGTCGATTTACAGTTTTTGTGTGTTGGGTCTACTAGGCTCCAAAAATAGCTGAGAATCTTGGTATTAATATGGGAAATATAATATCTACAATTGTGTGGTTTTTACTTTAAAAGTGCCGCATTTTATCCAAAGTTATGAGAGACTGGTGGACATGTTTGTCACGGTTTCGGCCGAGACTGCTCCTCCTCCTAGTTCGGGCAGGCTTCGGCGTTCGCCGTCCCCGGAGTACTAGCTGCCACCGCTCTATGTTTCGTCGTTTGATTGCTTTTGTCTGTCTGTTACACCTGTGTCCATTTGTGTGTTGATTACGTGTCTTATAAGTTCCTTGTTTTGCACTAGTATGATTGTGTGTTGTTATGACTGCCACTGTGTCGGAGCTACGTGTTTGCACCCTGTTTGTTTTGTGTTTAGTGTTTACGCGTGTGCGTAATTTTCCCTCGCCTCTTGGTGTATGTCGAGGTCGGGGTTTTCTCGTAAGCATTAGACTATTAAAGTCTGTTGGACTTAACCTCTGTGTCCTGCGCCTGACTCTTCCACCACATCCACATCGGTTCTAGTGACAATGTTTCTCCTTTAGACTTTAAGTCTACACTTTATTTTAAGGACAGTACCTCAGGCATACCCTCTGGGTTTGCTACAGTATTTTTTAAATTCAGTTGTTAACTCATTTCACTCTGGGAAATCCCTGTTAAGAACAGGATGTGTCAACGGCTCCAGTTCTTTCCCCTCGCTTGGAGTGTTCTGTTGTATAACCTTTGCCAGCTCTGATCTCCCACAAGTGTGCATGTTTGTCACACACAGTCTGCCATTTTGGAGTAAACAGAGGGAGTGGATACACACTGATGGTTTCAAAATACTGTAGCAGTGTCAGTGTTTTCATGGATTGAAATATATTGAGGTCGTGCCGTGTCTCTTTTTCCCAGGCTGCAGATGGGTTCCTGTTCGTGGTGAGTTGCGACAGGGGGAAGATCCTCTTTACCTCAGAATCCGTCTCCAAGTTCCTCAACTACAGTCGGGTCAGTGAACTGGTTATACTTAACCCTCCCGTTGTCCTAGGGTCAAAATGACCCGCCACTGTGTTGAACCAACTTTATTAAATTTTTATATTTTTGGGATCATTTGTGAGAAGGAGGCAGTGAGACTTTAAAGAAAGTATCACTGCCTCCTTCTCACAAATGATCCAAAAAATATAAAAATTAAATAAAGTTGGTTCAACACAGTGGCGGGTCATTTTGACCCTAGGACAAGGGGAGGGTTAAGCAATAAGGCCCGAGGGGGTGTGGTATATGGCCAATATACCACGGCTAAGGACTGTTCTTAGGCACAACACAACGCGGATAATTACTAAATTGAGCTAATTATTGAGGTCACTATCACTCAATCCTATTTAGGAAGAGTCCATTACTTAACAGTGCTATCCCATTCATTTAGTTCCATGGTTCGGTTTTCTTTGGCCATTTGTAACAGGCAGCCCATGCCCCTACCACTCCCATTGATTTTTAGCTAGCGGTGGCTAAAGTTATCTGAAGTTTGTAGTGGCTGTCTAAAGAAAACCGAGCCATGGATTATATTTTCTCCTGGCCCATAGACTACTTACAGGGCGAGGAACTATCTAAGATTAAATTGTAAAATACTAAATTCCCCTTTAATACCTTGTAATTTCTGTACCATAGTAAAGTTATACCTGAATCTGTTTCATGCTTTATATTGTGGAGGTGATGCTTGAAGTGAAGACCGGAGGTTTAACCAGAAAGTTCCGGTGGTTCTGAAGTGGGGATCTGAATCAGTTGTTTCCCCTAGTTCAGAAGTATAGTTGGCTAGCTAGCTAGCTCACACAAGATTTGGTTCCGGGTTCTGAGATGAATAGTTTGGTTCTGATAATTAAAGTGCTGTTTTTGTTTACAGTTGGAACTAATTGGACAGAGTCTTTTTGATTATGTCCACCCAAAGGACATTAGTAAAGTGAAAGAGCAGCTGTCAGCCTCAGGATTATACCCTCGCGAACGGCTCATAGATGCCAAAAGTAAGTCTGCAAAGACTTTATTTAAATGTATCTGTTGCTGGGATTTTCCTATTTTATTTCTCTCTGTGTTTTGTTTTGTTTGTGTCTTGTTGAAATTCAGTTTAAGCTATCTCACTATAACGGTATTACTTTAAAGAAAGCTACAGCTGTTATTTCAGTTCTATTAGCACAGGGGAAAGAGCAGAGAGCCTGGGTTCTGTTTGTTGTTGCTTTACTGGTTTCCACTTTGACCTCGTTCTCTTTTGAGGTCACAGATTTGTACTTTTTATGTTCCGTCTTCAATGTTACGTTGTGTTTAAAAATATTTATTATAAATATAATGTGATGTTGTTGGATCATAGGCTCTCCCGGTTCTTTAGCAGGGTTACAGGTCCAGGACCTTCCTGTGGGAGCAGTTCAACTGTGTACAGGGGCACGGCGCTCCTTCTTCTGCCGCATGAAGCACAGCAGAACAGTTATGAAGACAGAAGACAAAACCATCCAGCCCAGCAGCTCCAAGAAAAAGGGTGAGAGAGCCATGCAGATAGAACTTTCACTAAATACATCGTAAGAGCAGAGAGGAACGTGGTGGTCATCAACCCAGAAGCACAATGTATTTTTCTTGATTCCACCTCACTGAGGTAGTTGGTTAGCCCTGATAGGGCCATGATTGGAAATGCATGTGGGGGTTAAATGTAAACATGTGTTTTATGTGCACTGTCTACCCCTGTAGAGTCTCAACGATACTGCACTGTCCATTGCACTGGTTACATGCGGAGTTGGCCCTCCACCCAGCTGGATGCTGAGAGCGACGATAACGAGTCCTCCCATCTGTCCTGCCTGGTCGCTGTGTGCCGCATTCACCCTAACAATGCCTGTCAGCCCTCACGAGAGGTCAAGGTCAAACCCACCCAGTTTGTCACTCGCTTTTCAATTGACGGCAAGTTCACCTTCGTGGACCAACAGTAAGTGGTGTCTCTTACACAACCCTTTTTGCGATTTTCGCTCATTATTAAATATTCTTGGCAGGTGTTGGCATAATGTTGAACCAATACTGTTCATAAGGGGGCATTGTGGGCATAGCCTTCACCTGGTGAAAAACACTGGGAGGAAAATAAAACCGAATCTATACCCTGTGAAAGTAACCACACCTTTCGCTTTACTTCTGGATCAAGTCCGCTAATCTTTTGAACGGGCTTCACGGTTATATAATCAAATTCGAAATATATATATATATACAATTACATTCGCTTTTACAGAGTTTTTGCACTTAAGACCATTGCGCTATGTTTTTACCCATTGAAGACCATTCAAAAAACCTACAAAAGTTTTTAAAAAACTACAATGCTGAGGGGCAGTCACTTCCTGGTAACTTTCATAGCGTATTGTTCTCAGAGTTTTGTTCAGATTTGATCTCTTTCAGCTGAGTTGAGTATGTTTTGATACATACTGTAATGTTAGCCAAGGCTACGGTAAGTTAAAATGGCCTTGGCTAACATTACAGTTATACCCTGGGTAACCCAACCTGTGCTTGTATTAACAGCCAAAGAAAGAAACAAATAAAGAGAAAAGCAATGACGTTGGTTAAGGCAGGCCTGGCAGGCAGTCATCTTGGATAGGGTTTGCCATGGCACCCCCTACCATACCACAGTGGCTGTAAGTGTAATGGGGTTACCCCAAGTTTTCCAGCAACTGGTCTGAATGCATTCCAAATGAGACAATATACCCCTTGAAGAGATGACTGTACTGATTATTTCAAGAGATGGCAACAGTACATTACTAGTACTATTGGTTTGAAATATTGATAATAGCTTTGCTAACTAGTGAGTTGAAAAATGTTTACTTGGAACATTGTGTTGGAAATATTCTTTTTTTATATAGTAAGCATGTCAAGATAAATACGTTTTTACTTATCGGTTGTCAAATAGGCAGCTCCATTTCACAACAGGAGCCCTTTCACGTATGTGAATTTGTTATTGTGACCCAGGCTGTCCTAAAATTTTACACTGGTGGTGAGATCTTCTGACTAACAGCAGAGAGTGCATTGAACGCGTCAGTCCAATTTGATTTATGTTTACAGTATAATTCATATTATCTGTCAGTAGTTTTATTTTTGTTGCTTTTTAGTGAGATTCTTTCTACTTTGGCATTTGATCCCAATTCAGAGAACAACAACCCAGTTCACTTTACTGTGGTCAGATGTTTGACAACCATTCCATTTACTCATTTCCATAGAAACAGAAAGGCTGCATCATGTATATTGATGGTTATAGTTAGTATTTATTGTGCCATTCTGAAATGATGTACATAGTTAGAGCTGGTAAGTGGACAGAAGATATCAACCTGGTACTGTAGTTGGTTTATAGAGAATAACAGCCTCCTTGTCTCTGTCCTTCAGAGCCACTACTGTTCTGGGCTACTTGCCACAGGAACTACTGGGGACGTCGTGTTATGAGTACTTCCACCAGGACGACCTGCAACAACTTGCAGAGACACACAGGAAAGGTAATGGAGAATAGTTTGGTTGTCTTTGGTATCTACTTATAGGTGAGAACCAAATGTTCTCCAAATGTGCAGGTTGCTCAAACAGATATGAAAGATATTTCGGTTGCAGATATTGACCAGGTTCTTACTTATGTTGCATGGTAAAATGGTAATTACTATGGCTGTGGCGGTCATGACATTTTGTCAGCCGGTGATGGTCAAGCAAATAACTGCAGGTCTCACAGTAATTGACCGTTAATTAACATAAACATTTGTATCATCTCCTGGCTTCCACACATAGCCTGCAAGCCACTGATGCAGACCTTTGGAACATCTACATTTAAAAAAGTCTAATAAATCCATTATTTATTTAAGACAGGTCTAAAGAAACATTTTATAAGAAAATGTAGCCCATTTCAGAAGAACAGAATATCATACACTGAGTTGTCCTTACAAGCATTTCGCTACACCTGCAATAACATCTGCTAAATATGTGTATGTGACCAATACAATTTGATTTGATGTTAGGTCCCTGATCTGGCTATGCCATATGGCTGTAGGCTACACTAGTTCATTTAGCAGACAAGATTTGCTTAGAATTCCGTGTCATTATTTTATATAATTTTATAGTATGAAGAATACAATTGAACGTAGCTGAATAAAATATAAATAATATTTTCTCCAAACGATTTGAGGGAGTGCACACATGCGGCTATTCTGTGTTGAGAGGTTAACAAAGAAACAGGTACTCCTATATGCTTAATTTAGAGTTATTTATGTAACTTTAGTTGTGATACAAATGTTGGGTTATATGTTTTGATTTTTTTATATATTCTAAGGCTGTACACACTTCATCAGTCTCTCATTCACAATTTGACAAGCACTTGATAATGCCTCGAATTTCCTGGCTGCATCCCCTTTGTGTGGCTGTAATGCCCCCTAAAAAAATCCTTGCCTTTTTCGGCCAGTGGCCATTGTGCCCTTGGGTTGAATTTAATAATTATAATTCCCTTCTCCCGGCTGCGTGCTGAAGCACCTCTCACTCACATGGAAGCACCTCTCACTCACATGGCTCTCTGTCATGTGATCGTGTCTTTCTCACAGGCTACAAGTGGTCCTCTGTAGCTCAGCTGGTAGAGCACGGCGCTTGTAACGCCAAGGTAGTGGGTTCGATCCCCGGGACCACCCATAGACAAAAAATAAAATAAAATGTATGCACGCATGACTGTAAGTCGCTTTGGATAAAAGCGTCTGCTAAATGGCATATTATTATTATTATTATTATAAGACAGACACATTGGGGACGCAACTGCTTGTGTCTTTATCCAATTTCGAGGCGCATATTGGAGATATTGGAAGAACTGTCCACTTTTCATCAGCCAACCAGATGAGTAGGCCTAACGAACAGCAAAAGCACTAGCCTATGTCAGTCTACTATCCCCCATAGTACAAAAGTTGAGCTATTCTATTCTGTGAGAGAAATAAATATTCCAAACATAGTCTGGGACATTTGTGGGATGCGATAGATCCCAAATTAATACAACCACTTGCATCAAAAAAACTGTTTTAAGCAAGGCGCCTGATGCAACAGATGAGAACATTTAGCTTAAAATGCTGATAAAGTATTATTTTCTTCACATTATAAGTGCAGCAATGTGCACACGGCAGTAGGCTATAAGCGCAAATGTTTCATTAGCAGGAAAACACCATTCTAAAAAGTGACCACAAATGCGATTATGCATGTAATACTTTTATTATAAAGGTGCATTTTTATGGTGGAAATTATCTTCCCCAAACTTGAAACTCACGCGCTGCGTATGTATGCCAGTTAGGCTCTATACCCGTTGTAAAGCGGATTAATGTGCTTCATTTTAAGAAGTTATTTGGCCACTTTAGTTGTGATACAAACCTTATCAAAACATATAGGCCTATGGGCTAGGCTACATGAGGTGTGGGACTATGATTTGAAAAAGTTGCAAAAAAAACATGCGCTGTTTCTTGCCTTAAACTGGTCATCATTCACAAGTGATAGGCTAATATTTTCACCCATCACACTATTCTTGATTTAATCTTGTCTTTACATATATAAAATAATATATGTGTGAAATTTGTTATGATTTAGAATGGACCATTATCATGCACCTGTTTCGAAACAGGGGCAGCGGAAAAAAATACATGTAATCTATGCACTTAAATAGCGAATGGAGGACGCTTTTCCTGTGGTTCATTTTCATGCCAGCCAGGTAGGCTATACTCCTGTTGTAAAGAGAAGCAATGTGCTTAATATTAGAAAGCTGAGAAATAACTATAGTAGGCCTAGCCTATAGAAAGCTGATGGGTTCCTCCTCTTTTTAGTAGTGGCCATCACTCTGTGTGATTAGATTTTCGATGACGTTTGCATTGATGTCAGAGTGATTAGAGGGACAATGGAGTGCTGAGTACCAGGCAGTTAGCAAGTTTGGTAGGATACTAATGACCATCAGCAGCATCAGAGCTTGGAGAAGCCTAATTACCGTGACTAAACGGCACGTGGAATTTGACTGCCTTCATGACTCGTGACCGCCGGTGTGGCGGTAATACGGTCACCGTAACAGCCCTAGTAATTACACCATAATAACCAATGCTTACTTGTTTTTTTATTGCGGGGCACATTGCAGTGACATAAATGGCGTTTTGTGTCTCAACAGTTCTCCGCAGTAAAGAGAAGATTGAGACCAGCTGCTACAAGTTCAAAACAAAACATGGCTCCTTTGTCATGCTTCAAAGTCAGTGGTTTAGTTTTATAAACCCATGGACCAAAGAAGTGGAGTTTATTGTGTCAACCAACCAAGTTTTGTGAGTGCCTTTTCACATTAGGTCTAGATTGTGGGTTGAACGATCTATAATGATATTCAGTAAAATACATTTAATTTAATAATCTGCTTCGAGTCAAGACACAAGTTCAGTCAAAATTGTCCCATTTTGGTCCCAAAATGTAGCTGTTGTTCGAGAGTCCTCTGCGTTATACTAATGACATCATACAAGGGATGTACAATAATTTGTCGTCTGTTCCCTCTCCACACACAGGGGACCCGGTCACACAGAAGCTGAACAGCCGAGCAGCTCCAAGCTGTTGGAGGGTAAGGAAAGGAATATTTGTCCTGGTCATTTTGGATATAACTCAGTTTGGGTGTGTGGACCGACCTCAGCTCACTGTCCTGACCCCTCCCTCTGTTACAGAAGATGGCAAACGTACCATACTTATCCCTGGCATCTCCAGTGGCATGGCCACTATGATCTACGCTGGTAGCATAGGGACCCAGATAGCAAACGAGCTCTTGGACTCCAACAGGTGTGTTGCATGTATTATGGCATTGTTTTACAATGCAATAAATGTACCGATCTTGGATGTTAATTGGTCTCCACGTAGGCAACAGCATGACCCATAATTCTGTGGTGGCAATGGTTTGATTATTAAAACCATTTTCACTGAAGGTTTCTGTCAGAGCTTTCTTTGGCAACCAGGAGGAAGCTGGTACTTGTACAGTCAGCTTACATCGTTTTTTTGTTTTATTGGCCCATGACCTTGAACATTTTGTTACATTAGTTCTGCTTTCTTTCACTGCCAAAATGTCACTGTTTCATAGACGATGTCTCTGTGTCTGTGCAGGGTCAACTGTTCTCCATCCAGTGGAAACTCCAGTCCCTTCTGTCCACCTCAGGACAGGTCTCCAAAGGTCTCCTCTCATGCCAATGTGAGTCACCTTACCTACCTCCCCTCTCATCCTACAGTGTCTTTAGGACCCTAGGTAGTAGTTGCATGTTGACTATAAAACTTTAAAAAACACTTTTTCAAAACTATTTTCATTACGGCATAAAGGGAGAGAGTATGGTGTTTTTTTTACATGCATAACCACTGGAGGTCTCCCTATGAACACATGCCTTGCGTAGATTAAACACTTTTAAGCTGAATGTAATGTTTTGATGTACTTTAACTTACCAATTACCAGGGTAAATATTACCCCTCATATTAGGTGCGCTTGAAAAGTTTTGTAAATGGAACTTTGTATCAAAAAATCTAGAGAAAAACTGTTCTGTATTATTATGTACCCACTTGTCCTCTTGCAGATGCCAAATGAGGAGGTGACTGATTCAGATACAGTGAGCAAGTCTGGATCAGAGTCTGCTTCAAAGGGGGCCACATACGCTGGCAGCGACACACATATGGACACAGGTAGTTACCATTCAAAGCATATACAAAGTAAACTTAAAAGCAATGCATTTACATGATCTTTAATTTACCTAGACTGTTATCAATCAGACAATTTTAAGTGTATATTTGGGTTACTTAGTTATACTTAGAGTTATACTTTGTTAGCATACGACTGACATAACTTTGAGTATTGGTTGATTTTGATGACAGCCCGTTCTCCTCCCCCAGGAGAGAGCTCCCAGATGGACCTGGACAGCATGGTGGGACCAGGCCTTGGTACCCTGAGCAATGATGAGGCTGCCATGGCCGTCATCATGAGCCTGCTGGAGACTGATGCCAACCTGGGGGACGCAGTAGACTTTGACAACATGCACTGGTCTCACTAGCAGAGATTCAAATGCCATCAATTCAGGAGAAGAATTGAGATTCCAATTCAAGAATTGAAAAATGATATTTATTCTTAGGTACATTACTTCATTAATTTATTTAAGCATTTTCAAAGAGGATTTCATTGAATTCCTGAATTGGGATTTCAATTCACTCCCAGAATTGAAATGGAATTGACCCCCAACACCATCAGTCCTAAACTCTGTAGTTTATGGTTAGACAAGCTCCATCCAGGGACTATATTTTTGTGTGCTCCGCTATCAAGGAAACAGATTTATGTGCTTCTGAGGGACTTCTACGGCTCGGCTCTCTGTTCATGTTTCAGGAAGAGATATCCAGCCTGGGCTAAAACCAGCAAACTCTTTGGTGGCTTACACAGCTGTTTCAATTTTGGTGTGGATTTTTTTGATCAATTTTTCAATGTAACTGAATGTGTACTAAAACCACCCTAGTTTGCCTATATCTGGGTAGTCACAGATCGATAGCAGTTTGGTACTCTTGGGGTTCCCGCCGGTGTGAAATTGATCAACTCAAATTCAAGGGAGTAGACGGCGGCATATGTTAATCCATTTCAAAGTATATGAACTCTGAACACTGATCACTTGTGTGAATAACTTCAAATGAACCATTGCAGCTGTGTCTTCACTCAAATTGTCATCGTCTATTATTACAAAGTTAGATTGTATATTGTTCTGTCTTTTTGCTCTGTATTGTAGGCTTTTGTATAGGTGAATCAATATTGCTGCCATGCTATTGCATAGACAGCAGCATAACTTTTTCTGAAGTCACACAGAGGTAGAACTGCTTCTCTTGAAATGTTTTTATTTACACTGAAACAGAACACCCTGAAGGTGCACCTGCAGGGATGTAATGGAGGCTAAATGCACAAACACCTTTTTATTGTGCGAAAAGCATTTACGCATTTATTACGCAACGTCTGCGTTGTTAGCAATAGCGTATGCATTGCCTATCCTAGAGGACCACAATGGAAATAAGCTCCCAGGCTTTATTGTGTTTTGTCCTCAATGGTTTTAAATGTAATTTATAATGATACATTTAAATACTCACTGCCCGTCATCACGACCAGCGTTCAGCGCTTACCCACTTTAATCCTTTAACCCCTACATCTTAGTGTGTTTGAAATGTGGAGATGTGAAACTAATCCAGACAAGGAAAACTGCTTGCAAACAACCTTTTGATCCTCGCTTTAGCAAACTATTGTGAAAGCCTCTTTAGAACCAATCTCAATACCATGTCTGCTTTTGCTATGAACAGAGCATTACTTTCTCTCTGTGTGAAGTTTGCACAGTCTCTTGCTGGAATTCAATCTAAATGCACTGTACATTTAGTTCTGCAATTGTGATTACCACTTGAGGGACAAAAAGGAGAAATATCAGTGAATCCGTAAAGACTTGAATTGTAATGCCTGTGTGCACTCCTGCAGTGTTGATTTTAATGAAATGTTTTGGGTGAGGGAAGATCATGGCTTCATGTGCATAGAATCAAGTAATCTGGTACAGAAAAGCAAATTAATAGGCTGCATGTCAAACTTTGATATTCTTTGGCTCTGACCAATGCATCCACGCAATACAATTAAACATTAAAAACAAATCTGAACCCATTAAGTTGAATATGAAACGTATGTTTTTATCTTGAAAGTTTGTCAACGTCATTTATAGGCATGACTTAAATATTGAAAATCTGGAAACTGCATTTCAACTCTGAATTTGAATATTAAAAATATATGTACAGTGAGGGAAAAAAGTATTTGATCCCCTGCTGATTTTGTACGTTTGCCCACTGACAAAGAAATGATCAGTCTATAATTTTAATGGTAGGTTTATTTGAACAGTGAGAGACAGAATAACAACAACAAAATCCAGAAAAACGCATGTCAAAAATTTTATAAATTGATTTGCATTTTAATGAGGGAAATAAGTATTTGACCCCTCTGCAAAACATGACTTAGTACTTGGTGACAAAACCCTTGTTGGCAATCACAGAGGTCAGACGTTTCTTGTAGTTGGCCACCAGGTTTGCACACATCTCAGGAGGGATTTTGTCCCACTCCTCTTTGCAGATCTTCTCCAAGTCATTAACGTTTCAAGGTTGACGTTTGGCAACTCGAACCTTCAGCTCCCTCCACAGATTTTCTATGGGATTAAGGTCTGGAGACAGGCTAGGCCACTCCAGGACCTTAATGTGCTCTTCTTGAGCCACTCCTTTGTTGCCTTGGCCGTGTGTTTTGGGTCATTGTCATGCTGGAATACCCATCCACGACCCATTTTCAATGCCCTGGCTGAGGGAAGGAGGTTCTCACCCAATATTTGACGGTACATGGCCCCATCCATCGTCCCTTTGATGTGGTGAAGTTGTCCTGTCCCCTTAGCAGAAAAACACCCCCAAAGCATAATGTTTCCACCTCCATGTTTGACGGTGGGGATGGTGTTCTTGGGGTCATAGGCAGCTTTCCTCCTCCTCCAAACACGGCGAGTTGAGTTGACGCTAAAGAGCTCAATTTTGGTCTCATTTGACCACAACACTTTCACCCAGTTCTCCTCTGAATCATTCAGATGTTCATTGGTGTGTTACCAATTGTTTTCTTGGTGACTATGGTCCCAGCTGCCTTGAGATCATTGACAAGATCCTCCCATGTAGTTCTGGGCTGATTCCTCACCGTTCTCATGATCATTGCAACTCCACGAGGTGAGTTCTTGCGTGGAGCCCCAGGCCGATGGAGATTGACAGTACTTTTGTGTTTCTTCCATTTGCGAATAATTGCACCAACTGTTGTCACCTTCTCACCAAGCTGCTTGGCGATGGTCTTGTAGCCCATTCCAGCCTTGTGTAGGTCTACAATCTTGTCCCTGACATCCTTGGAGAGCTCTTTGGTATTGGCCATGATGGAGAGTTTAGAATCTGATTGATTGATTGCTTCTGTGGACAGGTGTCTTTTATACAGGTAACAAACTGAGATTAGGGGCACTCCCTTTAAAAGTGTGCTCCTAATCTCAGCTCGTTACCTGTATAAAAGACACCTGGGAGCCAGAAATCTTTCTAATTGAGAGGGGGTCAAATACTTATTTCCCTCATTTAAAATGCAAATCAAGTTATAACATTTTTTACATGCTTTTTTCTGGATTTTTTTGTTGTTATTCTGTCTCTCACTGTTCAAATAAACCTACCATTAAAATTATAGACTGATCATTTCTTTGTCAGTGGGCAAACGTACAAAATCAGCAGGGGATCAAATACTTTTTTCCCTCACTGTATGTGAATGCAATAGTTATCAAGTTTAATTGACGCTAGGAGTACTATGGTCCCGACACCACCCTCTTCCTTTAGAAAGTGAGTCCCTCTGCTTCACTCTCACAAGTCTCTTGTGCCCGTACTGATGGGAAATTATTTTTATGACCTCCCATCAGCGCTATCCCACTTCTGACACCCAATGGAGTTAATTCAGGGAGTACCAACCAAGAGTCGATCCCAGGTCCCTGTGACTGTCAGTTCAACATCTTAGCCAATACTGTATGTGTACCACCTAAATAATGACATCCATAGAGATTCATATTTGTTGACTTAACAGACAATTGAAAAATAATTGGCTCAGTTGGTAGAGCATGGCGCTTGCAACACCAGGATTGTGGGTTTGATTCCCAGAGCCACCCATACGTAAAATATATGCAAGCAAGACTAAGTCACTTTGGATGAAATCATCTGCTTAACGGCATATATTATATTACTATAGACCAGTCAGAGGTGTGAGGCAGATATTTTCTTATGAACTAAATCAAAGGACAAAGTCCATGGTCTATAATTTTGAATTATTCTTTGGCTTAACTTGCGGTAAGCCATTTGTCATTTCCTTGTACGAGTAACACAGCATTTATCTTAGTGTCATAATCTCTGAGCACACTTGAGGCTGTATCTCCCTACAAGAGGTAAGCATTCTCACTTCTTCCTGTTTTTAGGCTCCCATTGAATCAGATGTAGTTGCTGACTTACTTTATTTTGTCTGTATAGAATCAAGATGTCTATGGTACAGTACCTAATATCTGACAAAGGATAAGAGTACGTTTACGTCATTTAGCAGACGCTCTTATCCAGAGCGACTTACAAATTGGTGCATTCACCCTATAGCCAGTAGGATAACCACTTAACAATTATTATTATTATTATTATTTTTTATTTTTTTTACAGTCTTTAAGTACAGGCAATGCCCTCTCCAAAGATGATCTTTACATAGCCAAAGCTAACACCTGTACACAGATCTCATAGTAGGTAATCAATAGCCAGCATATATTTCCGTGGGATCCGTGTTACGCTTATCAATGATCTAATACTACAGTCGAATTGAATAATATAATTTTAGTTTCAATGCTTACATTTCTAATTTTTCCGACCCACTAATTCAAATGTTGTAATATAAATATTTTTCCATTCTTTTATTTGGAATTTTCTAACCTGTAAAATTTAGATTTTGATAACGTTTTTCCAATTTTCTGATGTACCTTTTGCTGTTTAAAAAATGTATGTTGAAATATTGGTGTGGTTGGTTGGGAAAACAGTGATTTCTAAGTCTGTAGTCCAGGTGGATGCTACCTCTACAGTGCGGAGGGAGATCAACCTAGCCTACCTACACTGTAGTGCAATCTTGCCTGTCCAAAGTGCACTGCAAAAAAATAAAGGTTCTTAAATGGTTCTTCCTCAGCTCTTAAGGTTAATTGGAGAGAACTCTTGCCCCATAAATAACCTTTGAGTTAAGTGGGGGGTTCTTGACGAAGCATGTTTGGAAGTATGCAGAAATTGGCCAGTGTTAATTACCTATAGAGTTAATTTTTCTGTTTAACATTTATAGTGTTGATTCAGGAGTTAAATTAACACTTTAAAGAGTTAAATTAACACCCAGTGTTGTAAAATAACACCCGTGCTGGTGTTAATAACCAGACTTGAACCAAAACCACGCCATTTATTATATTTCCCAGCATGCTCTATTGCAGGTTTATTTTTTATTTTATTTTCCAAGATCTATGTTTTTGCATGTAATTGATTGATTAATTAATCTTATGCTACACCAATTATAAATAACAACAAAAAATGTATATAAACTAATCCAATCTGTTACTTGGACTTACTGAAATGGTTGTTCCAGTTTAGAAGTTTTAGGTAGTCTCATATGATAGTCTTCCCAACCCAGGCAGTCATTCTGAATAAAGGGGTAAATACAAATTCAAAGTGTTGGATATCCCTGGCTGGATTCCAATAGGAATTACACATCACTGTGAAAGCCAGCATAATGTGACTTGCAGGCCATATGTGGTTAGTTTCAGGCCACTGTACTAAGGCCCTCAAAATAATTTTATTTTAAGGATACCATATTCACTTAGGATCTCACTTGGTGAAGGTCACAGGACTGAAAATTAATGAATGTAACAACCATGTCTCTGTCACTAGCAAACACAGTCGTGGGTGGTACTGATAACTCGAAAATTCACTCGAAAAGCACGCTGGGAAATATGCAAATAAGGCTTAATTCCCTACAGTGTTAAAACAACACCCAATTGCATTTATCAATGGCGTTCCGCAAAGAACCATAAAAGTTTTTTGTAGAACCTTATATTGATTTGTGTATGGTTCTTCAAAGAACCATCCCATTTAAGCTTCCCCTGTGGCATCGCTATGAATAACCTTCCAACTGGAACCTTTATTTTAAAGAGTGTAGATGAGTAAGCTACCTTAACCTGTAATAGTAGGCTACAATGGGCAAGTGAAAGTAAATTAGACTATAGACTATCAGCATCATAGGCCTATCCAATGGCTGCGGGAGGAGTGAAACGTGTTGTTGTGTGAGGCAGATATTTTCTTATGAACTAAATCAAAGGACAAAGTCCATGGTCCATTTAGAGTGGAATTTTTTGAATTATTCTTTGGCTTAATTTACGGTAAGCCATTTGTCATTTCCTTGTACGAGTAACACAGCATTTATCTTAGTGTCATAATCTCTGAGCACACTTGAGGCTGTATCTCCCTACAAGAGGTAAGCATTCTCACTTCTTCCTGTTTTTAGGCTCCTATTGAATCAGATGTAGTTGCTGACTTACTTTATTTTGTCTGTATAGAATCAAGATGTCTATGGTACAGTACCTAATATCTGACAAAGGATAAGAGTACGTTTACGTTTACGTTTACGTCATTTAGCAGACGCTCTTATCCAGAGCGACTTACAAATTGGTGCATTCACCCTATAGCCAGTGGGATAACCACTTTACCATTTTTTTTTTTTTTTACAGTCTTTAAGTACAGGCAATGCCCTCTCCAAAGATGAGCTTTACATAGCCAAAGCCAAGACCTGTACACAGATCTCATAGTAGGTAATCAATAGCCAGCATATATTTCCGTGGGATCCGTGTTACGCTTATCAATGATCTAATACTACAGTCGAATTGAATAATATAATTTTAGTTTCAATGCTTACATTTCTAATTTTTCCGACCCACTAATTCAAATGTTGTAATATAAATATTTTTCCATTCTTTTATTTGGAATTTTCTAACCTGTAAAATTTAGATTTTGATAACGTTTTTCCAATTTTCTGATGTACCTTTTGCTGTTTAAAAAATGTATGTTGAAATATTGGTGTGGTTGGTTGGGAAAACAGTGATTTCTAAGTCTGTAGTCCAGGTGGATGCTACCTCTACAGTGCGGAGGGAGATCAACCTAGCCTACCTACACTGTAGTGCAATCTTGCCTGTCCAAAGTGCACTGCAAAAAAATAAAGGTTCTTAAATGGTTCTTCCTCAGCTCTTAAGGTTAATTGGAGAGAACTCTTGCCCGATAAATAACCTTTGAGTTAAGTGGGGGGTTCTTGACGTAGCATGTTTGGAAGTATGCAGAAATTGGCCAGTGTTAATTACCTATAGAGTTAATTTTTCAGTTTAACATTTATAGTGTTGATTCAGGAGTTAAATTAACACTTTAAAGAGTTAAATTAACACCCAGTGTTGTAAAATAACACCCGTGCTGGTGTTAATAACCAGACTTGAACCAAAACCACGCCATTTATTATATTTCCCAGCATGCTCTATTGCAGGTTTATTTTTTATTTTATTTTCCAAGATCTATGTTTTTGCATGTAATTGATTGATTAATTAATCTTATGCTACACCAATTATAAATAACAACAAAAAAATTATATAAACTAATCCAATCTGTTACTTGGATTTACTGAAATGGTTGTTCCAGTTTAGAAGTTTTAGGTAGTCTCATATGATAGTCTTCCCAACCCAGGCAGTCATTCTGAATAAAGGGGTAAATAAAAATTCAAAGTGTTGGATATCCCTGGCTGGATTCCAATAGGAATTACACATCACTGTGAAAGCCAGCATAATGTGACTTGCAGGCCATATGTGGTTAGTTTCAGGCCACTGTACTAAGGCCCTCAAAATAATTTTATTTTAATGATACCATATTCACTTAGGATCTCACTTGGTGAAGGTCACAGGACTGAAAATTAATGAATGTAACAACCATGTCTCTGTCACTAGCAAACACAGTCGTGGGTGGTACTGATAACTCGAAAATTCACTCGAAAAGCACGCTGGGAAATATGCAAATAAGGCTTAAAACAACACCCAATTGCATTTATCAATGCAGTTCCGCAAAGAACCATAAAAGTTTTTTGTAGAACCTTATATTGATTTGTGTATGGTTCTTCAAAGAACCATCCCATTTAAGCTTCCCCTGTGGCATCGCTCTGAATAACCTTCCAACTGGAACCTTTATTTTTAAAGAGTGTAGATGAGTAAGCTACCTTAACCTGTAATAGTAGGCTACAATGGGCAAGTGAAAGTAAATTAGACTATAGACTATCAGCATTATAGGCCTATCCAATGGCTGCGGGAGGAGTGAAACGTGTTGTTGTGCTTCCTTCCTTCCTTCTTTCTTCTTCTTCTTGTCTCTCTATACACAGTTTGTCTATATGTGTTTATCCTACGATGGAGGATGCAGACCAAAAGTCCATGGATCTTGCTGAAATTTTCCAACAGAGTTTACAATTTTTCAAAATCATGGAAGGTTCAGCAAATGTGCCCAACTTTGGTAATGATCTAAATTATATTTAATTTTCACATGAGGTAATGCAATACACAGAATTACAAAATCATTATTATTGTGAAATACTGCATAAACCTTTATGTTGAACCTATTGGTCACTCACATATCTGTTGAGAGTTTAGATTGTCATGCTTTGTTTACTTTATTGCTGCTTTTTGGCTTCACGTGGTCTTCAAATAAATTACAAGCTTACTTTGCAACATAATGTGAAATTAAATATGAAATCTTACATTGTCCACAGAAAAAAAATACATTTGTCATGACTTCATTTTTGGACACTGCTCTCAAGGAGGTACAGTAACTGCTTGCTTAACAGTATAGCTTCCTTTCTCACGTCCTTACTGGTTAGTGATCTCAAGTCCTATGTCTTTCAAACACAAGTGATGGCCCTCTTGACAACTTCTTAGCATGTTGCGCAACCAAAAAGTTAGGCATTCAATGGTGTGGCTGGAGGCATTTCAAGCTGAGGAGTGAGGTAATCAATCCAACTCAGTTACAATAGCACTGTTGTATTATCAGTGGAAAAGTACCATTCACACTGTAAATTATTCTTTACAGTATTTTGAATAACACATTACTGTTCTAATTTCCCAGACTTAATCAGCAAGGTCTATTGAACTGATATTGATTTATATTTAAGCTAAGTGCATGGGCGTCCATTCTACTATGCCATACCAATGGGAGGTGGAGAATAGATGTGGCTGGTCACGTATCCCAGATAATGAGGGTGTTGAAAGGGACTACTGTGACCCAGCAAAGACCCAGAGGTATGTATGTCCACAACGTGTAGTTAGGATGCAGTGAGACAATGGGGATGTGTAAAAATGAAATAAAAGCATTGAAGACGTTCCTATGTCCTGCAGTTGCAGGATACCACCGGTTAACTTTATCACCATGACCTGTGGGCACCTCAAAGTTCGCCGCCTTGCTACGGTTTCCTCCCTGGACCAGCCAGATGCTGTCCTTGCTACCAAGTGGACCTGGTACTGGGAGGCACACCATGATGGCTGGACTCCATATTTGTCATCTGTATGTAGTGAGGATACCTAATTTCTCCCTCTAATATGGCACAAAGAAAAGGTGTCTCTAGTGTTGGTGTGTGTGTGTGTGTGTGTGTGTGTGTGTGTGTGTGTGTGTGTGTGTGTTTGTGTGTGTGTGTCTCCTAAGATTGTGGAGGACCTAGAGAGGGTGTACAAGGATCCCTCCCATGGCTCAGTGATTGTGTTTACCTCTGGAAGATTCACCTATGAAGTACATTTGGAAGGTAGGCAGATATCAGATGTGATTCAGTATGGTGTAGATACAGCACAGTTAAAATACTGTTGATAAAAACAGGTTTTCAGAACACTACAGATTGAACAATGAAACATGTTGTCCCATCTGAAACTCCCAGGATAGTCAGACGTCATTGTTGATAGAGAGTACCTTGTATGTTGTGTCTATAGGTTACTCATCCATTTTTGTATACCCGTTTTATTCACTGAACTGAGAGATATATATTTTTAGTCTTGATCCAGATAAATACAAGCTCACACACCCAAAGACTGGTAAGAAGAAGGCCGATCTTCAAATCATCCAGAGATGTTCAGAGAGTTACTGGGTAAGAGTGAAATACAGCAAACTCAATAATGATTGGTTTTCTAGGGGAAGGATACAAGATGATGTCATTTGATTTTGGTTCATTGAGTGTGATATTGGATCTCTAGATTTGTATTATCTTTGTGGTATGATGAGGACAATATGGTCATTGATGACACTGTATCCCTTCACTTCTTCCTTAAGCATATCTAATACCAAAACTTCATCTGTGCCACCTTTCTGGGACCAGTCTCGGTTGCCTGGGATTGGCTTTGAGGTAATACAAAACACTGAACATTGTGTCAATACTCACTGACTGTGAGTCTGACCTTACATTGAAAGAGCATTGAATATGAATGACCTTATGAGGAGTTTGTCTTACTGTAAATCTGTCTTCACAGAGAGTTATGTTGCCAAACTCAGCAAAGGAATACAAAGACATCAAAGCCCGTTTTGAGAAAACAACAGTGGGGTTTCACATACTCACCATCGAGAGAGTGCAAAACCCTATCCTATGGAAGTTCTATGTGCTGTAGGTTTCTTAAAGACAGTTCTATCAAAAACAAATGTATTTCGTTTTTTCTTTAGTTGGGTTTTAATTGACCCAAGTATATTCCTTTTTAGGCAAAGAGATCAGATGGAATCCTCAGGGACAAGCATCAATGAGAAGCAGCTTTTCCATGGAACTGACTCCAAACATGTTGACAGCATTTGCAGAAACAACTTTGACTGGAGGCTATGTGGAACAAATGGTACTTCATTTGGAAAAGGTTGGATGCCAGTATAATAGTATACTTTGTGTATGCAATGTTTCAATGAATCCAAATGAATAACAGTTGTTATTCACAGGCATAAAGGCTGTTATGCCTGTGAATATCATAGACTATTAGGGTATGCCCAATGGATAAACATTATAATTTCAAAGGTTCAAATGGCCAGTTACATATTCTTAGATAGAAAAATGTCCCAACTGGTTTATTAACGCTTGTAATATCCTTCCCTTACTGTCAGTAAGAACAAAGGCAATTTATAGCTAAGATTTAATAAATGAAAGCATCTAAACATTGGGCTTAACATAGTCAATACATCTTATTTTCAGGAAGTTACTTTGCCAGGGATGCTAAGCGCTCACACAGCTACACCAGCCACTCAGGAGTGAGGTCCATGTTTGTTTGTCAAGTGCTGGTGGGAGACTACACTGTGGGAAACTCCAGCTATGTGAAACCACCTCCTAAAGAAACAGGAGGATCCATCTTCTATGACAGCTGTGTGGACAACATCCAAGACCCCAAAGTATTTGTAGTTTTTGAAAAGCATCAAGTTTACCCCGAATACCTCATACAGTACAGTGATACTGCTTCTCCACCAAACAGAACACCCCAGACAAATCCCGTTGTCCAACCAAACAGTACTCCCCAGCCTAATCCCGTTGTCCAACCAAACAGAACACCCCAGCCAAATCCCGTTGTCCAACCAAACAGTACTCCCCAGCCTAATCCCGTTGTCCAACCAAACAGTACTCCCCAGCAAAATCCTAATGCCTCAGATTCAGAAGACCCTGAATGTAATTGTTGTTGTTTGTGTTTAGGCTATATCTTTTGTTGGCCATGTGGCATCTACTTTTATTTCTGTCACGATGACGATTGACCAGGCCTTGATGTATACAGGTGCCCTCTAGCAAGGCACTTAAGCCCAATTCCTCCAGGGGTGCTGATATGGCTGACCCTGGCTCTGACCCCATCTTTCTGAGGGTCAGGGTTTCTGTTAGCCGAAAAATGCCAGCTTTTGGCCGAAAACAAATGGAAAGCTGATAAATAAAATGGTTGCTGGCCAAATTGACCAGGAGAAAAAACAATAGTAGGCAGGCTATCAGCGGGTCACCCACCACTTTACAATGTGAGCTGGAGGCAGTATGCATTTTGAAAACATACAAATTGTTTTAAACCTGAACTTTTTACTTCATATTATGAACCATGTCTTACCTTGCTTGGAAATCCGACCATAGAAAGGTGGACGCAGTTATTTTATAAAGACTTCATAGGCATCATGTGAGTCTCAAGTTTGGGGAAGCATAGGCTTACAATTTATCCCACCATTTCTACTGATCTGGGTGTCAGTTATGATTTTCACATGTGCATTTTCATGGATCAATTTAATTTCAATAATATCGTTTTCCTTTCTCAAAATCATTGTCAAGTGGTTAATAATGCAAATCATAATTTAAATGATCAAAATATAAAAGTTAGAATTCAACTAATGCTAGAGCACCAGCCTCGCCATATTATGGACACATTGATACACCGTGATCATTTGAGGATAAATAGACTAAAGAAGCACATAGTACTCGGAGAATGCCAATGCAGCCGTTGGCCTTTAATTTCCATTTTCAACTATAGTAAAAATACATAAAGCCTACAAATAAAAACAGTAGAAAATATAAATTCTGTTTTTTTTTCAATCACAATCTCTCTACTCAACCTGTCTGTCTCACTTTCTATCTGTCTTGACTTGAGCTATTGCTAGTGAAGTGCAACATTGTATCAAATCAATCAACTGGATCCTGCCTGAAGCTGTCTCTAGCAAACAACTAGCCTATTCTAGGCTCTCAGAGTTTCCTGTGCCAGTGAGCTCAGGTATTTTATGAAATTTCCACTGGATATATGGGATCATCAGATAATGATGTCTTGCTCACCGAGGCAATTTATTTGTTTGTACTTATACCCCTTTTTCTCCTCAATTTTGTGATATCCAATTGGTAGTTAGTCTTGTCCGATTGCTGCAACTCCCCTATGGACTCGGGAGAGGTGAAGGTCAAGAGCCATGCGTCCTCCGAAACACGACCCTGCCAAGTTGCACTGCTCGCTTAACAAGCGACCCGAAGTCAGCTTGCAGGCGCCCGGCCCGCCACAATGAGTAGCTAGAGCACGATGGGATAAGGAAATCCTGGCCTGCCAAACCCTCCCCTAACCCAGACGATGCTGGGCCAATTGTGCGCCGCCTCATGGGTCTTTCGGTCACGACAGGCTGTGACACAGCCTGAGATCAAACCCGGGGCTGTAGTGATGCCTCAAGCACTGCGATGCAGTGCCTTAGACCGCTGCGCCACTCGGGAGGCTGGAGGCTTGGTGATTATTGAGGTGGAGATTGTTGGAAAGATTTTTCAAATTGGCCTACTGTGAGGAACTATTAGATTATCATTCACAATGGATGTTAAAAAAACAGACTTCATTGTCTTACTCTGTGAGATGACTGAGAAGCTCAGTTTATTAGTAGTGGACGTGGTGACTAAGACAATCAGAAATCCAACATCCCCAAATGGGCTTTCCTACATTTGCGCGCAGCAGGCCAGGTAGGCTACTTCTATGTGTGTTCAGGTGCATGCGCTCCCTCAACATTAAGAAGACAGACAAACCAGACCCATGCTTATTGCTCACATGGTGCACTCCAAACAAAAGACAATGAAAAAATTGACAACTAGTAAATTATGTTATGAAATAAACCAAAACTTGTTTCTCACAAGTGTAGCAGGTTGTGAACTCTGCAAACAATGTTTCCACTCTGAGAATGAGAACGGTAAATGACTGTATGCCTAATTAGTAGTACCATGCATTAACAGCAATTAATGTAAGCAAACGAAGGGCATTAAAAGTACATTTACTGCTGGTGACATATGTAATGGGGAATTTATCAAAATAAACAATCAAAGTGAAAACAATGCACATGAAACAATGAATGGCAAGAATTGGCAGGAGACAGCTGAGTGGATTCTGGAGAGCTGAGTTTTAAATTCTGGAAAGAGATGCGCCTATAGGCTGTCTGCGCCACACACCCCTCCCCTTCTTCTTGTCTCAACATTTTAAATTATACTCAAGACACATTATCTTCACACATATTTTAGATGCGTTTCACTGACAGCCACAACTCAATAATCAGCTAAGTCGTTTGCCACGTTCACTGCCTGCCATTTCTCTCCTGTTCTATTGGTTTTCATATCAACTTTCTTTCATTGTCCAGAAGCCAAATGCACAATCCTAGTCATAATAGCAACCCATCCTAGTTGTTACAGCTTTAGATTCACCCTCTTTCTAAGTTCCTAACGGAGATTTTCATCTCTGCCATAATATGATAATGATGAATATAGCCTACCGCTCGCTTCAGGTGCGCTGTTTAGAATAGTGTTTCCCCTTTTCCAGCTAATTGCATTTTGCCAAATGTTTGAAAATCATGTTTTATTGGCTGTTTCATTACAGGAGTTGCATGCTTTGTTAAGATGAATTACCATAATCGGAATGTGATTTCTGTCATTCTGTGCACCATGGGTGGACCCCCTAATGAGTTACACACCCAATGCATATACTGTATGTGTTGGTCAATTTCTCAAATGGCGGGTAAATTAAAATATTCCCGGTCGGCGCCACATTTTCCTAATGGAAACCCTGCCTCGGGTGTCTCAGGGGAATTCTGTGTTTATGCAGGGAGTTTTGTTTGTCAGCATGTGTCATTGGTATATTTATTGTTGTGATGTTATTTTCTCCCCCATGGCGTTAGTAACAACTTACTCGCTCTAAAAAGAAAAGGTTCCTGGTGGATCCTTTAAGGGTTCTTCAAATCGAAACTATGGTTCCTCAAATAACCTTTTTGGGTTCATTTTTTAACCCCACCCCCATTAATAATAATAATAATAATCAGCATAACAATAACAACAATAAAACCATATTTTAGTTCTCAGTGTTTATTTATATTTTAGTGGCAAAGCAGAATTAAAAAATCAAAATATGAGGTAAACTCCCAGCAGAGCCCCAAGTCAATGGGTATATCCTCTGGCATGGTGATGTCTTTTGTATCCATAGCCAGAATGATTTTGCAGTGCATGGTGATCGAACCGGTTTCTGGTTATATTCAGAGGTGTAGGAAGGGTGAAGTCTGTGAATACCAAAAAAGTATTATACAGATGATTAACAAAACGTGCACACAACAGTATTCATACCTTGGTTTTTGTGGTAAATGTGAATGAAAAAACTGTTAACTGTATTTGTATTTGTTAGGGATCCCCATTAGTTCCTGCCAAGGCAGAAGCTACTCTTCCTGGGGTCCAAACACATTAAGGCACTTGCATCACACATAAAACAAAAGATACAACGGTACATCATATAACATTATTACACTACTACATATCTACAATCCAAATGTATAATACCACCTTACAACAATATTACAATGTACGTCTGTGGAGAGTGCGTGTGCTCCCACAATCTCTTTATCAATTTCTCTCAGCCAATCACCAGTCATTTGTGTAAGTGCCGTGCTTGTTGAATGCCCTTTCCTATAAGCATGCTGAAAGTTTGTTGTCAATTTGTTTTACAGTAAAAAAGCATTGTATCTGGTCAAGCACCATTTTTTCCATAAGTTTACTAAGGGTTGGTAACAGGCTGATTGGTCGGCTATTTGAGCCAGTAAAGGGGGCTTTACTATTCTTGGGTAGCGGAATGACTTTTGCTTTCCTCAAGGCCTGAGTGTCACGTTCGTTGAATGACGGGTCAGACCAAGGCGCAGCGTGATATGCGTACATGTTTATTGAACTTAATAAACACACAACAAAACAAACGAAACGTGAAGTCCAAGGTAGCACACACAACATACCTTAACCGGAACAAGATCCCACAACTAGACAGTGCCAATAGGCTGCCTAAGTATGGTCCCCAATGAGAAACAACGAGTGACAGCTGCCTCTGATTGGGAACCACACCGGCCAACATAGATCCACACATACTAGATCGACAACATAGAAAAAGCACTACAAGGAAATATACACACCCTGACTCAACATATAAGCGTCCCCTGAGTCAGGGCGTGACACTGAGGGCACACACTTTCTAGTAGGCTTAGATTGAAGATGTGGCAATACTTTTTTCACCTCATCCTCACTTACTTTACGGAATTCAAAATTACAATGCTTGTTTTTCATAATTTGATCAGTTATACTTGGATGTGTAGTGTCAGCGTTTGTTGCTGGCATGTCATGCATAAATGTGCTAATCTTGCCAATTAAAAAGTCATTAAAGTAGTAGGCAATCTCAGTGGGTTTTGTGATGAATGAGCCATCTGATTCAATGAATGATGGAGCCGAGTTTCGCCTTTTTTACCCAACATTTCATTTAAGGTGCTCCAAAGCTTTTTACTATCATTCTTTATATAATTTATCTTTGTTTCATAGTATAGTTTCTTATTTTTATTCAGTTTAGTCACATGATTTCTCAATTTGCAGTACGTTTGCCAATCGGTTATACAGCCAGACTTATTCCATTTGCCTCATCCTTCTCAACCATACAATTTTTCAATTCCTCATCAATCCACAGGGTTTGATGTTTTTACAGTAATTTTCTTAAATGGGTGCAATTTCATAAATGTGTCAAGTGCAGTGTCTGGTTGCTCCTCATTACACATCACAGATCAGCAAACATTCTTTACATCATCAACATTGGTTTTCCTAGATATGGCTACTATATTGTGATCACTACATCTGATGGATTTGGATACTGCTTTAAAGCAAATTTCTGCAGCAT